GAAAATATTAATCTCTTGTCGGGGTAAATGTATTTTTCAAAATTTCAACGCGCCGTTCTATAATGCTCCAATAGTTAATGCGGAACCATTAGTCAAACGTCGGGATTCGTGCACACGAAAAGAGAAATTTCGATTTTAAATCACTACATTTATCATGCAAGCAGGCGCATATGACACCGTTCTGATTTTATTTTATATATTTTTCTCTCTCTCTCTCTCTCTTTTTCTTTTTCTTTCTCTTTCTTTCCCTCTCGTTTCGCGCGTTAAACCCCTTTTTCGATCGTACAGCTATAACCGGCTACAAGTTCCGAAACGTTCTTCTCCTTCTATAAAACTAGTTCACTCTCGACACTGCGATACTCCATGTTGGATAAAACATTTGTCGTACGAAAGAGAAGATGAATTAAAGTTTGAATTTAATCAAGTAAGTTAACTTTTTTTTAATCTCCTTATCTTAATAATAATTAAAATGTAATGTAGAATGAAAGAAAGGAAGTTTATTAAATAATACTACGTCGAACTACATCAAACGATTCTAAAAAGAATTATGTCACAGAATGATCACCAATACCTAATCTAAAGGCTATACTTGTCTCATAAAATTCTCTTTCATCCATCCATCCATCCTCGTAAACATGCTATCAGAAAATAATAAAAATGCCGAGGGAAATAGGTTTGAGTTCGTACCCCGAGACTATAGCGCACCGGGACCGCTCGTAAATTTTGGTCCACGATTTACTCGTCTATTTATTTCTCCTTTAGAAAATCTATCGTTATATAAGTTTCTGCGAGCGATTTCTGCCACCGTGCACGGAGTTCGGGAAACGAACTGAGAAAAAAAATATCACTTGAATCGTTCTAAACTGAATGGAAAACTATTATCGGAATAAAACGCATTTTTTTTTACTCTTTCTCTCTCTCTCTCTCTCTCTCTCTCTCTCTCTCTTTCTTCTTTTTTTTAAAACAACTTCCGTATATTTAAAAACTTTGAACGAGACCATTCGATTTATCACCAAAATATTTCGTTATTTAAAGCACAGAGACAAAAATTGAATATTCAGCGTGCCCATCTTACCGACGATCATGAAACACATGGTCCGTTACGGTAAACAACGATGCAATTGACTCGTGACTATCGAGATGTAATGAATATGGAAAATAAATATTTTATCAAGGTATATCGATTTCCTCTATCGATCGTTTTTACCAAACAAATTTCTATAAATTTCTTTGCAACTATAATTTTTACGCTTACATATATACGCACATACATACATACATACATACATATGTATATACATATATATATATATATACATATATATTTACATATATATATATATTGTGATTGTATATATATATTGTAAATATATACATATATATATATACATATATATATTTACATATTGTTATATATATATATATATATATATATATATATATATATATATATATACATATATATTGTGTGTAACATATCTTTGAAAACGTAGTTGACTCGAGGAATTCAAAGGACAGGTCGATCCTATCTCAACACACAAGGAACACGCATGCACAAATAGAAAAGTGTTTAGCAACTGAAATAGAGAAGAAGGGGTGAGCTCCCCTCTTGGACCTCGGAGATAACTGGGCGTAACCCCCAAAATCATCTTACAAGTGTGCTCGTGTATACGGCCGAGAGGGTCTATGGGATAAAACGAGGTCTGATTTATTTATCGAATCATAAATTATCAAAGTTACAATACGATGCAACGTGCAAAACGCACATCTCCCTCTCTCTCTCTCTCTCTTTCTCTCTCTTTCTGTATCTCTCTATCCTTCTCTCTTTCTACCATCCTAGAGCAGAACTGTTAGCGAGGGACCGAGAGGGTAAACGTAACGCGTGTTTGCGTTGCGTGCTCGACCGGAAACACGATTTATACGATGCAAATTAAACGTACTCACTGCTATTCGTGCGACGAAAATCTCGTTGGACGTATTGTTATTATCATTATTATTATTATTAACATTTATATTATTATATCCTACGTTTTCACTAAATATGTACGATATCAAGATATTTGAGCAGTTTCAAATTCGTTAACAATTAATATCTTTTATCTGTGTTTGAATCGCGATCACACTAAAAAGTTTTAAACGTCAATGAGAGAGATAATCTTGACCGTAACTTTCGAGGGAATAGAATTTATGCGATCCTAACATAATAGATCTCTCGTTTATGCTCGTTATTAGACTCCTTTAAATACTTACTGATTCGCCAAGCGTCATTTGAGGGTTGATCTCATTGCATAGATTTCAAACAGACGGGGACCCCTTTCACGGCGGACCACTGAAATACATTTGGAATGCAGACAGGAAATTTTCAACGGTAGCGTCTGCATTTCCGTCAATTGGTCACACAGGATAAGAGCCATAATCCGATTGCGAAGTGTAAAATCAATTATTCATTTTTCTCTTATAAAATCAAACGTATGCCTAGCTATCTGTTAAGTCGAAAAAAAATAATAAGAAAAAAAAAAAAGAAAACAGAAAGAAAATCAACCATTTTATATTTACATTCTCATCATTCTCATCAAGAATTGGAATATATTGAAGAGTACATAAGGTACGATCGGCCTACCTGCAGATCCACAAAAATGGCTAATTCATAAGGCTCTCTATTAATATCATTCCTTTTAGCACATCGTCGATAAACGTCCCGACGGCGAGAACATGTTGTGACACTGTTAAGGGGCGTTTTGGGGTCTGCCGTTTTGTGTATGCTCCCCTTTTAGACTTTTCGTCCTTACACCAGCGACGTATCAGCCTTTGACAAACGACCGACATTAATTTTAACCTAGTGAAATTTAAGTCGTCGAATCGGCACGAATCGTTCCCTAAAATTTTTTTAGCTTTTGCTTTTGTTCAATGCACTTTCGAAACGTCCAAATATTGGCGATTTATTTCGCATTTCATTTTTACCAATGTATACGTTTATCCGTATAACCGTAAATAATAATGGCATTGTAATGAAAACAAGATAAGTTAGTTAATAGAGTGTCTCGAAACGAAAATAAAACGTATTTGCGTCGATACAAATCATTATAACGATTTTCTACTGTATAATCGCTGGCCGATAAGATTTTGACGAGGGATAACGAATAACGCGAAAGTCATCGGTTAGATAGCCGTCAGATCGATGGATAAGGACTAAAAATGGCGTGCGCACGTACCAAGTGGAAATACGCTTGCAAAGGGTAGAACGACATTTGGAATTAAAAAATGGTGCCTTGGGCCGATGTCGCTCACAGTGATGCCACCGTGACAGCCAATGTAACGCACGAATTAACGAAATAATTGATTTTCATACCGTTTCGAAACGAACGACCAAATACAAAAGACCAAGCGAAAACGTTTGCCAAACCGAAAGGATATTTCCTCGATTTTCTCTATTCCCGAATATTTCAACGTTGCCCACGCGACCGGACCAGTCGCCTGAAAGCTCTCTCCGAAACATTTTTTTTACGTGTGCATTATACGCCCTGAGCGAATATCCCGTGAACCTCCACAGACGACAAATTGTAAATTGCCTTACAAAATTCTATCTGCTTTGTTTTTATTTTTTCTTTCTTTTGTAGAAAAAAAAAAAAAAGAAAATAAAAACAAAATAAAGGCACAATTTGCGAAAATTACTTTTTCAATCGAACGCAAAACACGATGTACTAATATTTTCGATAGGATCGTGTATATCGAGTTCGTATCTCGAAAATGGAACCCTAAATTCCGAGGCTATTGTACGCAGGTAAGCTCGTTTTTACGTCTCGTAACGTTAATGGGAAAAGCAAAAGAGATTATTCGTAGCTGGTCTGGTAATGTAAGCCGTCGAGCACGTTGCTATACGGTACTAGGTAGGGCTTACGTAGAGAAAGCAGAAGAGAAAGGAAAGCGAGACAGAGAGAGAAAGAAAGAGAGAGAGAGAGAGAGAGACAGAGAGTGAGAGAGAGAGAACAGATTTATATTTGAAATTAGATTAAGCTTCTGCGCTTGAAAGCTATATAAACGCCCCCTCCTCTCCCCTACCCCAACCTCCGCTCGCGTCGCTTACGTTCCTCATTCCACAATCCAAGGAGGGAGGAGAGGGACTCAATAAACCAACCACTCACTCTTTCTTCCTATGTCTCTCTCTCTATTTCGCAAACCCGGCTTTTCTCTTTTACCCTCTCCTTTTCCTTCTCTATATCCATCTTCTCTCTTTCTCTCTCTCTCTCTCTCTCTCTTTCTTTTTCTTCCTCTCCTTTTCGCCTCACTTTCTCTCTCACACTATCGCAAACTTCGCTTTTCGTCCTTTTCTCGATCTCACAACCGATCGTTCCTCTTTTCCTCCCTTCGTCTCACTTTCAAATCGTAACGCCATCCTTTCTACGTAATTCTCTCCTTTTCCTTCTTTATTTCTTCGTTCATTCTTCTTCCATTTCTCCTTTCATAGTAATTACCAGGGGAGAGGGAAGGAGAAGTAGATTGAGGGAGAGGTTCTTTCTGACCGATCTTTCTTCCTCATTTTATCGTAATTCTCGTTATCTCGTTCTCTGGTCCATTCGCGTCATCTCGTTCCGGCTTTCGATCGGCTCTTATCGTCGCTTTCTTAGAAATCCTTTCGCACCCCTTTTTTTATCTCATACACTTATTCTCACGCAGTCTAAAGAGATCATCGAAGAAAAAAAGAAAGAAAGAAACTAAGACGATATAATATCTTTTCCTTATAAAATATTAAACAAAAATTAAGATAATACTTTCGAATATAATAAACCATTAAGAGAAATAATATTTAATGTTATAAATGAAAAACATCGTACAATAAAGCAAGATTGTAAAAGATGTACGCTCTTCCATGTAAGATGGATTAAAAAATGATCGTACGATACGATAAAACAATATCCGCCATAACGTTCGTTATGAAAATAAATAGAAGTATCCATACAAATATTTGTGGATATTTGTAAATCGAAGTAGAATAACATTGTGTTTTTGCATATTTTCTCCGATATTATTGCTTCACATTGGGGTCTGCAGAGCGCCAGCTCCCATACCGTAACCGTATCCTTGCGGTCCAAAATTTCTGATATAGCATTCTACCATAGAGACGAAAGGGGAGAATAAAAAAATATATATATGTATATATATATATTATATCAGAAATTAAAAAGAGTTACAGATCTCATAGTTTAACTAACTAACGTTTACAATAAATCTCCCCACAATTTTCTTGATATGTCAAAGGTTCGAGCGGTTTACGACAGCAGAAGCAACTGAAGCAAATGTTGTGATACGGCACACCGGATGCGATCTTAAAAATGATATCAATAAACATAAATTATTAAGAAATGCAAGATCACTCGTTCATTCTTTTTTTATTTTTTTAAGATCAAGTTCAAATCACATCACCTGCATTTCAGCTTGGTACACCTTTCGTCCGCAACGTTGACAATCCAGACCACCACCTAGGCATTCACATCCTGGAGGTAGCTTGGCCTTGCAACATGAATCAATTCCGTCGGTATCGTAGCAGGTAATATTGTCGCAACAACAATCTCCGTTAATAATAGTGCGGCATGGTGGACTTCTTGACCTACGCAGACGTTTGAAAATCATTTTTAGAGGTAGGAGGTCGGTACATAAGTTCTCTTACCGGCAGTAGCTCGGGCCACCGCCTCCCATGCAACATTCTCCTCGACTAAGTGGTCGACGACAAGGTGAACCCGATAGGAAAGGTCGCGGTGATGAGCAGGATGTTTCGACACACGGAGGAAATAGTCGGCAAGGTGGAATCAAACATTGTCGAGCCGGCATACAAGTTTGACCAGGTTTACCGCATCCACCCCGACAACCACTACCACAACATCCCCCACCACCACAACTTGGCAATTCTCCTTTACAAGGTGAACAACAATTTCTCCTAGGTTTCCTACAAATTGGTCTACATCCTGCGGGTGGACAACAATCTCTTTTATCGGCACAAGATAAACATTTATTATCGTCAATACAAGGATCGCATTCCTTAGGAGGGCATGATTCGAATTCTATAAGTCGTTTACGGTAACAGCAACCTCTGTTATCTGAATTCTGGCAAGAAAAACATCCACATTCTTCGTTAATCGGTATATTAGCGCAACAACTTTCCGCTTTTCTCGATTTACGACAATTTTTTCCTCCGTGACCTCCTCTCATACGATCGTCATCATTATCATTTTTATCTTGAATATTGTTCGAAGAATCTTGAAGATTTCTATGAATACAATTTGTCATGTCCTTGTCAATATTATTTTCGTTATCTTTATCAATGAGATCGTTATCGTGGCATGGTGTTTGCGTTGTTCCACCGACATCGGAATAATTTAAATCTTCATCGTTTAAATCCTGATCATGTTTTCTTAAATCCTCGGAGGAACGTATAGTTAGAATATCTGCTTTCGAACAATCATCGAGATTTCCATCATCCAAAAATACTTTTCGATCATTCTGCATATCACGACGACGATCAACAGTGTTTTTATCTTCGCAGAAAGACACACGGCGAGCCGATAATCGTAGGCAAGGACGTGGCGTTGACGACACGTTGATTGGATTTTTATTATTTCCTTCCGTACTGGAAATACCTGCACTTACGATCTTCATTTTCACATTTAAGTGAACTATTATACTTCCAAATGAATTCTGATATGCTATCAGTTAAATTAGTTTACACTATTACAAATTATATACCTCGATTGCGACTTTTCCTCTTCTTCCCCACCTCCACGTAGTCTACTATGCTTCTTCAAATGATAATCTTTGTTGTTTATCGACGATACTTCACCAATCGGAGAATCTTCAGTAGCGCAGTAACAACAGCAATGACAACAAGTGGAATCCTTAACAGAGATCGACGAATTTAGGATCGTTGAGCGAGGAAATGTTTTGATTTCTTTGGATAAATTATTCTCCTTCGTGGAACGTAAAATGCTTGGAAAAAGTCGGGAGTAACAATTTCGACAAAATAATTCACCACGATGCGTTGACACTGTACAACTGTCCAACAATTTTCGACAGTTGACTGTAAACGATTAAAAATAGGTTAGGAAACGATAAGATGAAAAGAAAAAACTCAAAGAAAAAATACTTTTATTTGTAATATAAATCGATGTAACTTACGGCAAGAGAAACACAACGTATGCCAAACTTTTCCAAGAGCCAATCTTTCCTCCGCGAAATAAACTTCGCGATGACAACGTGCGCAAACTCCGGGCATTTATCTTCCTTGTTAATCGCATGTGTATATGTATATCGTCATTACATTTCAAATTTTATATATTTTATATGAAAAAAAAAGTATATATATATATTCGATAACACACACCAAAAATCTTAAAACATTTTTTCACTTATATTTTTGAAAAATAACGAATGATATAAAATTGGCTCGAATCGGACATAATTGTATTTCGATTATCGAACAATCGATTTATTTAAGTAAATACAATCCATTATTAAAATAATCCACTGAATCTATAGTTTTTTATTTTCATCAACGTTCTTCAACATATTGGAACAAAACGATCATCGTGTTGTATTTAAAATAATCGTGTAATATTAATTATAAACGAAGATTTAAAATAATCAAATTTCATCATCCTCTTCCCATCATCCCGTCACGTTTTATTGTTTTTTTATATTGATTTCTTTTTATTTTGTATTTATCAAGACAAAATTATTATCTTCAATATGTTTCAAATTTTTTATACGAATAGTTAAGTAGATTTTTCTATGTCATCGTTTTTAAATATTTAATAATGAAAACGTTCAATGTTTACTAATAAAAATATCACAAAGAAAAAAAATTGTATTATCCGAAATCATTTGAATTTAAACATTTGCAGTGTGTTTCTCTAAGAAATTATTTTATATAATTTTATCTGATTTGTTTATTTACCTGCTGAAGTATTATCAATAATGTGTAATGTAGATAGTATAATATTTAAGTACAATTAGAAAAACAACATTATGGAAACCAATTGAAATCTGCAATTATTCGACCGGTAGTACTTGTGTTTACAATTAGATTTCGATAGATCGCAATTATACCGATCCAGATCTCACCAAGTAGAGGTTGTTGCATGTGACAATCCATGGGTTGAAATAATATACTAATTAATAGTTTAAATAATCTTCTATCGACCCGATCATAATCGATCCAAGGTTCATCAACCGCGACTTTATCTTAACCTACACATGGGACAAAGCTTGGATTTTTTACTAATTATTTAAAAAATTTTTTGATAGTTCTACACAACTATCATAACGTAATTAATTGACATAATTTTTATATACAATTTGTATATCCAAGAAATATGCAAAGTACATGTATTTTATGATCACTACTATGTTAAATTTATAATTAATATATTGTTTATTGATAAATTTAAAGTTAGAGATTTAAGAGTTAAGTAACATAAGTAATTCATAATTAAATGCCATTTTAAAATTAATGACACTCATTCATGACTCATCAACTCAATATATAACCAGGCTTTTTAAACTATTTTAATTACTAAGTGACAGATAATTAACCGATCTATCATTCTTGTCTTAAAATAACCTTAATAACAAGTTAATCTAAGAAGTAGAACTTTTGATAGGAAAAATGTTTATTTCTTCTTTGTTTATTAAAATTAATAATACCTTATAATGAAACATATCTTCTAGCTGATTGAATTCCATTTTTCTTTCACTGCTATTAATTATAAAATAATTGGCTTAATGTCTAAACTTAATCTACTTTTTATTGAATAAAATGAATTAATACTTGAATATCCTTAAATATTATAAACAATTATTTGAATTCAAAATTTCTGTTTAAGCAGCTATTAACTTTATATTATTAGCGATGGAATACATATCATATCATGTAATACATATCATAACATGTCACCAGTAGTTTCATCATGTGTAGGTTCTGCATGTGAAGATAAAATAACATATTAATTAGTCGCCTTTAATGAATAATTTCTCGATCTGGTCATAGTCGATCGAAGGTTCATCAACCATGACTTTATCCTAAACCATTCGTGAAAAAAAGCAAAAATTCTTTATTAATTATCTTAGAAATATCTTGAAAAAGTTCTAAAAAAATTATCTCTATATGATTAAATCGATATAATTTCCACGCATAATTTATACATCGTATTTATATACAAAGTATATGTACTTTATAATCAATACTATATTACATTCAATATTAACATCTTGTATTATATTGAAGAAACTATTGTGTTAATCCATAAATAAATGTTGTTTTATAAACAAAGACATTTAGTTGTAAATAAACTCAATATATACATGCTTTTTAAACTATCTTATTTATTAAATGCCAGATAATTGAATGATTTGCATTTTCGTTCTTAAATTATCCGTAAAAATAAGTTCACCTTAAAACCAGAATCCTTAATATTATTATTAATATAAACATACTAAAGCGTAAAAAATAAAGCATTAGAACCCCAACATGCATAAATATATATTTTATTACATTTAATTTATAGTATATAATAATAAACATCGATCATTTTAGGTGCTCTAATACGCGAATATCGAAAAATATTGATGTTAACAAACCCAATGATGATCATCCGTAACAAAAAGAAATTAATCACTATAATCAATATATAAAAACATAAAATATAAAAACATAATATAAAATTTAAACACGTGATTCTACGTTAAAACTTATAATACTTAAACAATTCAGAAAAGTTTCAAATATTATTAATATTAATAAAAATAAAGTATATATGAATTATATTATAAATTACTTCTTTATCGCGTTTTTTATACAAAAATTACAAATAATATTCGATAAAAATTAAATATTGTAAAAGAATAATTACTGTAATGTTAACGATACTTAATTAATTTACAAAATCTAATAATATGCGAATCTAAATATTTTGAATTCTAATTAACTAAGAACTTGTGCATCTATTGGACGATTCAGACACGAATTTTACGTGCCAAGGAAATGAAATAAAGTTATAACAATTACTACTGACGAGCAAAATGATAACATGGTAAAAAAATTTGATAAGGCTACGAACTATACCGTGAATATAGTTAAACGAATTACTTGGCTCATGCGCATTGTCTCACTTTATAAATGTTACGTGTTAAAAGAACATATTAATTTCTCTTAGTATTTTATTGGAAAATAGCATAGAATATAATATTTAATTGTAAATGAAATCATTGAAGATTGTTATCAATCGTTTTATTATGATAATGGGTAACTATTTTTATATTAAAGTACTTAAAATATGTTTCCATGAGTGTTTCCGTCACAGAAACGTAGATTCCCGCAATAGGTACGTAACTTTCTTCTTTCTTATTTCGAGAGTCAACAATTATTTTATTAATAAATCGATTAATTAAAGAATTTATCTTTTTTTATGATTGATCTCTCTTACAAATGTTCAGAAAAAATAACATATTATTTTATTTGGCTATAAGTCGATCTCTAAGTATTAATTATTAAATAATTTATATTTATTACAATAAATTAATATTTAAACAATAATCTATTTGTTTAAATATTCCAAAATTTGTAACAAGAGTTAAAATTAAAATAATTTTAAATTAATATTTTAATACACATAAATTTCAAACTCGAGATTGAATTGGTATCAAATCAGTTTTCGAAAAGTTTTCTTTTTCATTCCAACAAATAAACATCGTAATTCTCTCTTTCCATATGAGTTACTTAAATTTATACTTCCAATAATTTTGTAATTATTTAGACAATGTATAAATACGCAGAATACAATAAACTAATATTTAAATAATAGTACCATTAGCTTAATCATTAAATGGTCGAAAGTTTCGAATCAGCACAGGTGATTGGTTGTAATTAATCAGTAGAAGAACATTGAGTGACCATAAATAAATCTTCTTTGAAGATTTCTATAACTTACTGTAACATTCAGCGACACACAGAATCTGAACAGTTTAGCGATATTACTGATATCTTCTATAAAAAATTCGTCTATATCTATTTTGTTCGTCTTTTCCTATTCGTATGGGTGTAAAGCGATTACGTTAATATTATTTCTAGCGTATTTCGTAATTTTCTCAATTTGTAGACTTCTTAGAAAGCTGAAAAATATTAGATCGAAATTAGAAAATTAATTGTATGTGTATGTATGTGTGCAGGACGTATCGATATCTTTATGTAAATGTATATATATATACTTATGTTTACATTTATACGAAAATCGTATATAAGACGATTAATCAATGAAAGATTATTAATTAAAACATCGTTAATAGACGAAAAAAGTAGCTAAAATAAAAGCAGAAAATTCGAAATAAAAAACGTCCCCAAAGAATACCGAGACGCTAATTTATTTTGGCGGATATCGTTTAAACGAGATGATACTATGATTTGCTAACATTAACGGATGGAAATCGTATTTTCGGCAATCTTTTTGTATATAAAATAAATATGTACGCTAGAAAAAAATATACTAATTATGTGTAATTAACGTGATAACGAAGCTACGTTACGATCACTAGCAGTATATACAAATTCGAAAGAACGCTGATTGGTTATGTCAAAGTGAGCGGTCATTCTTCACACGCATGCGCAGTGCATCATCTTACGTATATTAGCGACTATATATATATATATATATATATATATATGAATTAATTTATTAATCTTTATAAAATCTAAGAGCAATTAGAAGTCTTATTAATCAATAACATGAAATTAGATAAGTATTTTTTTTCTTATTAATTCAAATAGATTCTTGTTTCACACACATAACATAACACGCATATACACACACAGACAAGCTTGTCGTCACACATACATAGATTCTTTTTTCACTGGTAAGTCAAAAATATATAAAAAATAACTATATAAAAATAATTTCCAAACAAAATAATAAATAAATAATATTTCGATCTTGAAATTAACAAAACTTATTAAATAAATAATTGTCAAAATAGTTTTGTTAAACGTGTGAGAATAAAATATTTTTTAAATCAAAAAATAATAACGATAAAATTGAGTCACTGAAATTTTGACTTTGAATAACTGAGCTAACAATTACACATCGGATAATGTAGGATCGTTAGTTTTTATAAAATAAATGGTTACAAAGTCGATAAATATTTTGTAAGAGAAACAAAACATGTGATTTCTAGATAGACTTCTCATACTCGATTGATGTTACGTACATTACTTTTTTTGTATCTGACTAAAACAATTCATTATAACAATAAATTAATAATAGTATTTTTTAAAAGAAGCTCACAGATATATTTACGACGCATTACTATTCTTTATCCTTTCTTTATCTTGCCATATTGT